AGACATGAATCATCAATATGGTTCCAGGCAAAATTGTGATATTAGTGGTTTGCTTTTAATGCTCTTTACTCCCCCCTCCTCTAGATTTTCCTAATTCTTACCTTTTTCTCTATCTCCTAAGAACTTCATATTTTGATTCTCTACCCAGTTCATAATTTCCAGAGTTAATCCTGAGTTCTATATCAATTTCTTCACTGTTACCACTATTAAAACTATATTCCATTCCTTCCCACTTCCTCAGAGCAGTTCTTAAGTTGACCATAACTTTCACTTGGGGACATAATTTTATATTTTTCTTTCCATTATGGTGGTAATAGGAGTCCCTGGGTGGTGCAAATGGTTAAGTGCTCGACTTCCAGCCAAACAAGTTGGTGGGTTCGGAACCCCAGAGGCACCTCAAAAGAAAGGCCTGGTGATCTGCTTCTGAAAGGTCACAGCCTTGAAAGCCCGGTGGAGCAATTCTACTCTGCACTTATGGGTCACCATGAGTTAGAATTGACTCGAGGACAGCAACTAACAACAATAACAATGATAATGTCAATGACTGAATCTATGAAGGAGTCTCCAGTGAATCTTAAATGAGAGAATCCAGCCCTGTGGAAGTGAATTCAAGAGATAATTTGGCTTCCCAAGCAACCCTGAAGTCACAACATTGAGGCATCCTTCCTTTCTGACTAGAGTATGCCTGACCTTTGGGATCATAAAATTGAGAACAGAATGATAAGATCCACAAGTTCAAAAATGAATGCTTAGAAAACTTTCTGATGCATTTTTTGAATAGCTAGCCATTATTAGAAGTTCACAATTGCCTTTTTTTATAAGAATTAGCTGAAAATATATCTCATTAGAATCATCTTGTAACAAAAAAAAAAAAAAAAAAAAACCCCGTTGAGGCTATTCCGAGGGAAACATGTTTTATTTAGCTATTTTTCTACTTCTAACACTTCCAGAAATCATCATCGTCTTTGTGTATTAAAAAGAACAAAAAACATTGCAAACAGACGTCATATAGTCAACTAAGTAATTGTACTCCAAGGTAATTTCTTGCTAGTTAAAGAAAATATTTGACATCTATATGAGAGTGTGTGTACATTTCATGCACCTAATTGTTGACATATGGTCATAAAGATATTTACACTTTGATATAAACATTTTATAATCATAAACAGGTCATTGTAAAATAGCTGGAAACTTGAAAATGGACACATTTATGTAGACATGTTCTCAGCTAATTGGATAACACTTTTTGAGTATATAATTTAGTTTATATTTTGTTCAAATAGATTCCCTGGATCACTAGGTGGTCTATACAGATAATGATTGGGATTTTCCAGCTATTCTGAATATTTTAAAAGGTCTTATGGAAATTATAAATTTACCTATGGTATGATTCATAGCCAACACCCGGCTGTCAGTTTGTTGTACTGTGGTGGCTTGTGTGTTGCTATGATGCTGGAAGCTGTGTCACTGATATTTCAAATACCAGCAGGGTCACTCATGGTGGACAGGTTTCAGTAGAGCTTCAGACTAAGACAGACTAGGAAGAAAGGCCTCATGATCTACTTCCAAAAATTAGCCCATGAAAACCTTAAGGATCACAACAGAATATTGTTCAGTATTGTGCTGGAAAATGAGCCCCCTAGGTTGGAAGACGCTACACAATAATTACAACAATGGACTCAAGCATACCAATGATGATGAAGATGGTACAGGACAGAGCAAAGTTTCTTTCTGTTATGCACAAGGTCGCCATGAGTCAGAGATGACAACAGCTAACAACAACAGTGATTCATAAGCTACTCAAATTTCTTTGCTTTTGGAAGAATGATGTCAACTCTGTCAGCAATACTGGTTTCTTCATGCTGACTATAAGCTCTGAGAGAACTCTAATTTTAGGGCTTTGATAAAAATGGGACAGTGGATTAACAATTAATGCTCAGAGCAGAGCTTTAAGAGCTCAGGTTCTAAAATCAAAAAGACCTAGTTCCAGTCTTGGCCTCAGCACTCACTAGCTGTTCTATCTTGACCAAGTTACTTAATATCACTAAGACATCCTCTAAGTTTCTCCATTTTTTAAATGGAAGAAAATACCTTCTTTGTGGGATTGTTGTAAGGAATAAATAAACTATTGCAAGTAGAATGCCTAGCAAAGAACAAAGAATTTCAACAAATTATAGTTATTAGTATTCTTGTTATTGCAGAATACAACTGGTTGGCAAAATCTTTCAAAGTAAGGAATTTTTGAAGAAAAATAGTAAAACGGACCTTGGTGACAAAGCAGGTTTAGTTAATGTTATTTAAAAGTGATATTTCTAAATCAGCTTTCAGTACCCATTTGGATGCTCTAAGGAAAATATACCAGATACATTATTGTTAAATAATATTGTCATCGAGAGAAACTACTCTGAGCTTAAAATGAAAATTAAGAGGATTTATTCAGCATTAAAGATTCCTTCATAAGAGGCAAAATGAGGATTAGGTCCTCCATATTTTGACCCTGTGTGGCCTTCTTTCCATCTGACCACTGTCTTAGGCTGGGTTCTCTAGAGAAGCAAAACCAGTAAAGTGTATACATATATATATAGAGAGAGATTACATCAAGGAAACAGCTCACGCAATTGCAGAGGTTAGAATGTCCCAAGTCCGTGGATCAGGTTAGAGGCCTCTCCCAAGTCACACAGCTGCAGAAGCTGGCAAGCCCAAGATCGGAAGGTCGGAGAGCAGGGCTCCCACTCACAGGCTGTGCAGATCGATGAATCCCAGGTTTGGCAGATAAGCTGACAGCTCAAGTTCCAAGAACGGGAGATGAGACAACAGGAAGCAGCCGCAGGATCCAGAGAGAGCAAAAAGCTAGAACGTCTACTTATATACAGATGCGGGCCACACCCCCAAGGAGACTCCGTTTCATCTGATTGGCTACTCACAGTATATTCAATCATGGGAGTGATTATATTAAAACACAGATAATCATGGCCCAGCCAAGTTGACACACAATCTTAACCATCACAGTCGACCCCTTGTCAACTTGACACATGTACACATCTCCTTAAACCATACATAATCTCTGAATAAAGACAAAGAGAAAGTCATACTTGCGCCTAACATGATGCAACTAACATGCGTACAATCGAAAACGCACTAGCCCCATTTACAGCTTATATTTTATAAGTGAAGGAAACAAAAACATTCGATGCACACATACAAAGTACAAATACTCAACAATTACAGTCCCCATTTCTGCAACTGGTCATGTGGCCGTTTTGGAGGGACACAATTCAATCCATGACATTCCACCCTTTGGCCCCCCAAAAATCACATCTTTGCAACATGCAAAACATATTCGTCTCATCGTATCACAGCAAAAGTCTTAACTCCAAGTCCAAAATCCAAAAAGTCCTCTTCATCTGTGAAATCTAGACTACAAGTTATCTGTTTCCAAAGGTACAATGGCAGAACAGGCACAAGCTAGACATTTCCATTACAAATGGGAGAAATTGCAGGGAAAGAAGGAATAATAGGCACCAAGCAAGTTAGCAGAACACATTACATTAGCCCTCAAGGCTTGAAAATAATCTTCTGTTCTCTGAGACAACTTACACAATAGCCCTGCCCTCCAGACGCTAGGTATTGGCCACAGTCTCTGGATTCTGAGTGGAGGCCCCTCAGCCCTGGTCTTCAGCTCCGCCTTCCAGGCCCACTGGGACAGCAACTCTGCTCCCTCAGCTTCAGGCACACCATTCCCCTAGTCCATCAGAGTGACAACTCCACCCTTAGAAACACCAGGGGCCATGGCTCCACCCTTTGAAACCCCAGAGGTCTCGGCCATACATTGTGAGACTGAAGCAGCTCAGCTTCTTGTGTTCCTTGTCTCTTCAGCTTCTGCTTCCTGTGGCCTCTTGGCCCTCGGGCCTCATGCCCACATCTGCCCTGCTGGGGTAAGTGTTCCGAAGCTCAGTAGCTCCACCAATTAAGTGCCTGGAGGCACCCCACTCTGCCAGGAAGCCTCCTGCACACAGGCACTCAGCTCCCTCGCTCTGTGGGTCAGCAAGCCTAACTCCACCAATAAGTGCCCGAAGGCACCCCACTCCTCCAGGAAGCCTCCAGAGCGCAGGCACTCAGCTCTCTCACTCCATGGGTTGGCTACAGCGCTGTCTCACACTTGTCTCTTGGTTCTGCTGCTGCTGGTTCTCTGTTGTTGCCCCTTCTCTGCTGCTGCAGGTTCTCTGCCACTGCTGGTCTTCTGCTGCTGCTGCACCTCTATTCATTCACAGTTTCAAAACCGTTTCCACATTTTAGGTATCTGTTAGAGCAGCACCCCATTCCTGGTACCAAATTTCTTAGTCATCTAGTGCTGCTCTAACAGAGATACCACAGTTGGATGGATTTAGCAAAGAGAAGTTTATTCTGTCACAGTCCAGTAGGCTACAAGTCCAAATTCAGGGCATCAGCTCCAGGGGAACGCTTTCTCCATGTGCTCTGGAGGAAAGTCCATGTCATCAGTCTTCCTCTGGTCTGGGAGCTTCTCTGAACAGGAACCTCAGGTCCAAAGGACGCGCTCTGCTCCAAGCACTGCTTTCTTGGTGGTATGAGGTTCCCATGTGTCTCTGCTCGCTTCTCTCTTTTATATCTCAAAACAGATTGCATTAAGACACTGATCTTGTCAACCTCATCAGTATAACGTCATCACAGTGATAGAATTTACAACACATAAGGAAATCACGTCAGATAACACAATCATACAATACTGGGAATCATGACCTAGCCAAGGTGCTACACACATTTTTTAACCATCACAACCACACTAGTTTTTCTAAGTGGTAATTTATCAAAATGTCATATGCAAAAAATGCTTTGCATTAATGAAAGAGTTAAAGTGTGAAAAATAATCTTTATGCTAATATACGTTTGTCATTTACTAAGCTTTCTATTTCGACTATTGTCTCCTTTCTTAGAAAGCCAAACAGGGCTGTGAAATCTAATTTCTTTATTTCTCTTATTAGGCTCCTATTATGAAAGATGTAATTTTGAGGATGGGCTCTGTACTATGACACAGGATCAAAGTCTGCAACTTGGATGGATAAAGAGAAATGGAATGTCTGATACTTCACCTCCATTTTATGATCACAACGGTGATATGACTGGTAAATACTTTGGATTTCTTTTCTTTCTTTATTTTTTTGGAAAGTGATTAACTAAGGGATTAGAATCTGGACTGATATATAATATATATACATAAATAATTATATATGTACTCTTTAACCATTTTCAAAATGTTTATAATTCTAAAATAGCATACCAGATTATCTTAATTGGTTTACTGGGATCCTGAGAGCTCTATCTAGGTAGTAACTGGGATTTTCCAGCTATTTTGACTGTATGGAACTTGTAAAATCAAAACATGATAATACTGCATACATTACCTCTTTCCAAAGAGAAAAACACCAAATATTGGAAAGGATATGGAACACTGGGAACTCTAAGACTGTAGGTGGGTGTGTGAAGTGGTACAACTACCTTAGAAAAAGCTCTGGGAGTTTCTTATAAAATTAAACTTTCACTTACCCTGTGGCACAGCACTTCTACTCCCAGGTATTTACCAAAGAGAAATAAAAATATATGTCCACTAAAGACTTGTACAAGAATGTTCAGAGCAGCTTTATTCATAACAGTCTCAAATGGGGGGAAAAAAAAAGCACAAGTATCTATCATAGATTAATAAATAAATAAACTCCATGTTTATACAATGGAATACTACTCAGAAATAAAAAGCAAAGAATTACTGATACATGCCACAACATGAATGAACCTGAAAAGCATTGTGCTGAATGAAAGAAGCTTCATACAAAAATGTATGTACTGGATAAGTTCATTTATATAAAAGTTGTAGAACAAGCAAAACTAATCTATGGTGGAAAAGAAATCAAAACAGTGGTTGTCTTGGATGGTAGAGTTGGGGAATATTCTTGAACCTTCTGGGATGACAGTATTGTTCTGCATTTTGTTAGGGGTTTGAGTTGTATAGATGAATGCATTTGTTATAACATCAAATAGCAGACGAGAGATTAGTACATTTTGTATAATGTAAATTTTACCTCTAAATTAAAAAAAAAAAACAAACAGAAAAAGGATCTTAATGTATATTTAACTCTAGCTCCTAGGAGGACAAACATTTTCTTAAAGGACTAAATAGGAAGATTTTAGGCTTTGCGGGCCACATGGTCTCTGTCACAACCACTCAACTCTGACATTGTAGCATGAAATTAGGTGTAGACAATATATGAATAAATGGTCATGGATGTGTTCTAATAAAACTTTACAAAAACAAAAAGATGGCCCATAGGCAGTAGTTTGTCCCCATCTGAGTCTAGTTAATGATATACACGCCGAAGTATTTGGAGGAAAGTGTACTGTTGCCTGTGACTTTCTTTGAATGCATCAAAAATATGGATTAATAGATGCAGAGAGTGATGGGTAGATGGATAGATATATGATAAAGCACATATAGTAATTTTAATTGCATAATCTAGAAGGTCAGTATATGGATATTCATAGTAAGAATTTTTCATATGTTTGAAAACTTATATAATAAACTGCTGCTAGTGGAAAAAACTATACACATGATAAGTGGCTACATAACTCTTGCTTACAATTTAATAGGCAAAATAGAGTTAATATGGTCATGAATTAAGAAACCCAATGTAGATGAAACTTTCAAGGCTATATGGACAACTACTCCTCATAACCAAAGAAATGCCCCCTACTGGGTCACTGCTGGTGAATAGCAAGGACCTCAAGTCCTAGGCTAAGACTGCCAGGCCTTCTTAAGACAAAATAAATATATTGGGTGCTGTTTAATAGTGTGTGTGTTTCATAATATACAGATATTAGACTCAATTTAATAATTGATCAGAATAACAAAAGCTCTAATATTCCTCTTAAAAACAAATTTTAAATGCCCAAATAAGAAAGATAAACTATAGTGTAAAAGAAAATGATAACTTTTCAAATAAATAGTTAATTATTTTTGATAGCCTATACACTTTAGATTTTGGATCCCTGGTGGCACAATAGTCAAGAGCTCAGGTTGCTAAGCAAAAGCTCGGCAGTTCAAATCCACCATTCACTCCTTGGAAACCCTATGGGGCAATTCTACTCTGTGAATTAGTCGGAACTGACTTGACAGCAATGGGTTTGTTTTGGTTTATACACTTTAGATTTACAAAGAATCATACATGTAAAAAAAATCTTATGTATTACCTTGAGTATCAGCTGGACTCTTAAATTATTTAAAACTCATATTCTTACCCCTATTATTTTTTAAATTAAGTTTTAATATTAATGCAAAAATATATTTGAATTTTTTGTAGTGATACTGCTTTTTCTAAATGCAATGCTATATACTTAAAAAAATTAATGCTACACTGTAATCACTCTTCTCCGGGCTTTAGTAGACTTCAAATATTGACACAATGATATTTTTAATGTTCTAATACATTTTCAAGCTTAGCTCTGAAAACTTCTCAAGGCACTGATTACATGATGACACATTATTTTGAAGCACTGGAAAATTATTTCAAGAGTAAGTCAATCAAGTATTTTATTAATGCTTATGAAATAAAGATTTTTGAATGGATACAAGGTTCTACCAAGACTGTATTACCATTTCCAAATCTGACAGCTAAATGCAGAACATTTGCTGGTTTAAAATTATCCCTACAGAAATATGCATAATTTAACATGTAATTGTATTTATAAGATGGATGCATTGCTATTATTAAAATCGCCAGCTCTCAATTAGTTACGTCAGGCAATATCTTAGCTGTTTTTGCCTATGGAGTTTGTACTATCATTATCCCCATTTTGTAAATGGGGAAACCGAGACCACACCACTGCAGGATGACAGGGCCAAGATTCAAACCCATCTGACTTCAGAGATCTTAAATCAAAAGAGGTGATACAGCTAAAACGATGACTGCCTAAAAACACATCAGGTTTTTTTTTTTTTTTTTTTTTTTGTTATTGTTGCTTATTTTTCCCTGAACATTTTTTTGTGATTTGGGTGAAAGTTTACAGAACAAATTAGTTTCCCATTCAACAATTTATACACATTTTGTTTCTTGACAGTAGTTGCAATCCCCTCAGTGTGACAGCACTCTACCCACTTTCTCTTTGGGTTCCACGTTTTCACATGCACATTTTTCCTGCCCCTTCCTTCCTTCTGAACTTGGTTTTTGGGCAAATGCTGCCTTTTTGGTCTCATATGGTTAACTGTTCTGAGAAGCACATTCCTGACAGGTGTTACTGTTCACTTTATAGACCTATTGTTTGGCTGAATGGTAATCCCCAGGAGTGGGTTTAGTTCCAGGTTTGAAGGGTGTCTAAGGGCCACAGTCTCAGGGGTTCCACCAGTCTCTATCAGACCAGTGAGTCTGGTCTTTTTCATGAATTTGAATTTTGTTCTATATTTTTCTCCCACTCTGTCCAGGACCTCTGATCTTGATCAGAGCAGTTGGTAGTAGTAGCCAGACACCATCCAGTTCTTTTGGTCTCAGGCTAGTGGAGGCTGTGGCTCATGTGGTCCATTAGTCGTTTAGACTAATTGTTTTCTTGAGTATTTGATTTTCTTCACTCTTTTTTGCTCCAGACTGGAAGAGATCAATAGTTAAATCTTAGATGACTGCTTGCAAGATTTTAAGACCCCAGTCACTGCTCACCAAAGTAGGATGTAGAATATTGTCTTTATGGACAATGTTATGCCAGTTAACTCTCCCAAGACTATGGTCCTAAGCACTCAAGTCCGGTGACTCAGTCCCTCAATGTGTTTGGTTATGTTTGGCATATACGGGGCAAAGTTATGAAAAAGTTTTCATAACTTTGTCCACTGTATGACCTACTATATACATGTATATATTTGCAGCACATATAAATACACATGTAAAAATATCCTCTGCCAAACCTATATACACTCTTGGGCATACTCCCATACACCATCCCAAACCTGTTCAGCTTACATATCTACCTATGTATCCACTTGTAAATTATTTGTTATTACTGTTATTGCAGGATTGTGTACGTAATAGTATTTACTTTTATTGCCTTTTACTTTTATGTACCTCCCAGTTTCTTCCTCTGCCTTGGTCATGTTGCGCTGACCTCTCCCTTACTGTGTATTGCCTTTCCCTTCACCCAGGTTAATGCATGTCTAATATCTAGCTAGTGATTTTCCCTCCATCCCCCTCCCATCCTTCCGTGGTAACCATCAAAGAATGTTTCTTCTGTATGTAAACCTTTCCTTGACTTTTTATAATAGTGGTCTCATATAATATTTGTCTTTTTTTAATTGGCTTATTTCACTCAGTATAATGTCCTCCAGATCCATTCATGTTGTGAGATGCTTCGAGGATTCATTGTTATTCTTTAACATTGCATAGTATTCCATTGTGTGTACGTAGCACGGTTTGTTTATCCATTCATCTGTTAATGGGCACTTAGGTTTCCATCTTTTTGCTATTGTGAATAATACTGCGATGAACTTGGGTGTGCACGTATCTATTCGTGTCACGGCTCATTTCTCTAGAATATATATCTAGTAGTGAAATTGCTGGATCATATGATATCTGTATTTCTAACTTTTTGAGGAAGCCCCATAGAGTTTTTCACAGTGGTAGTACTGTTTTACAATCCCACCAGCAGTGTATGAGAGTTCCAATCTCCCCACACCCTTGCCAGCATTTGTTGTTTTCTGTTTTGTTGATCATTGCTATTATTGCTGGGGTGAGATGACATCTTACTGTTGTTTTTATTTGATCTCTCTAATGGATAATGATCACAAGCATCGCTTCAAGTATTTGTTAGCTGCTTGAATGTCTTCTTTGGTGAAATGTCTGTTAATGTCCTTTGTTCATTTTTTAATTGAATTATTTGTTTTTTTGTTGTTGAGGTGTTGAAGTTTTCTATAAATTTTAGAGATTATTTCCTTGTCAGATATGTCGTTACCAAAATTTTTTTTCTCAGTCTGTAGTTTCTCTTCATTCTTTTGCAGAAGCCTTTTGATGCACATAAGTGTTTAATTTTTAGAAGGTTCCAGTTGTCTCATTTACCTTCTGCTTTTTGTGCATTTTAGTTTTGTTTGAGAGTCTAT